ACCGGCGGCAGCGGGGGACAGCGCGGGGACAGCGTGGGGACAGCACGGGGACAGCACGGGGACACAGGGACAGCGTGGGGACAGCGTGGGGACACGGGGACAGCGTGGGGACAGTGTGGGGACAGCGTGGGGACAGTGTGGGGACACTGGGACAACACAGGGACAGCGTGGGGACACCGGGACAACACAGGGACAGCGTGAGGACACCGCAGGGACACTGGGACAACACAAGGACAGCGCAGGGACACTGTGGGGACAGCACAGGGACAGTGTGGGGACAGCGTGGGGACACCAGGACACCGTGGGGACATGAGAACACGGAGGGGCAGAGAGAGACGTGGAGACATTGGGGACAAGGAGGGATGAGGAAGGGGGACAGGGGGACATTGGGGACAAGAGGGGATACTTAGGGACAAGAGCAGAGGGGATGTCGGGGACACCGAGAACATCGGTGACACAACAGGACGGGGGGACACAACAGGACAGGGGTGACACAACGGGACAGGGGTGACACAATGGGACAGGGGTGACAGAACGGGACAGGGGTGACACAACAGGACGGGGGTGACAGAACAGGACGGGGTGACACAACAGGACGGGGTGACACAACAGGACAGGGCTGACACAACGGGACAGGGCTGACACAACGGGACAGGGGTGACAGAACAGGACAGGGGTGACACAACAGGACAGGGGTGACACAATGGGACGGGGGTGACACAACAGGATGGGGGTGACACAACAGGACGGGGGTGACACAACAGGACAGGGGTGACAGAACGGGACAGGGGTGACACAACAGGACAGGGGTGACACAACAGGACAGGGGTGACACAGTGGGACAGGGGTGGCAGAACGGGACAGGGGTGACACAACAGGACAGGGGTGACACAACAGGACAGGGGTGACACAATGGGACGGGGGTGACACAACAGGATGGGGGTGACACAACAGGACGGGGGTGACACAACAGGACAGGGGTGACAGAACGGGACAGGGGTGACACAACAGGATGGGGGTGACACAACAGGACGGGGGTGGCAGAACAGGACAGGAGTGACACAACAGGACGGGGGTGACAGAACGGGACAGGGGTGGGGGACACGAAGTGACCCCAGCCCCGGCCGCGTCCCCAGGTTCTGCGAGGTGGCGGTGGCCAACGGCATGGACATCTTCCGCATCTTCGACGCCCTCAACTACGTGCCCAACCTGCTGCTGGGCGTGGAGGCCGCGGGCAACGCCGGCGCCGTGGTGGAGGCCGCGCTGTCCTACACCGGCGACGTGGCCGACCCCGCGCGCACCAAGTACGGCCTGGACTACTACCTGGGGCTGGCCCGCGAGCTGGTGGCCGCGGGGACACACGTGCTGTGCATCAAGGTCTGGGGGGGTCCTGGAGGGGGTCCTGGGGGGTCCTGGGAGGG